AAAAAAAAAAAAAAAAAAAAAAAAAAAAAAAAAGGAGAAGAAAAAACAAAAAAACAACAGAAGACCTGAATAGATTCGCTATCACAGGCCAGACAGACGAAGCTGGCCATTGTGAAGAAGTTTCCTCTGAAATTGAAACATTCTATCCTGGGGGGAGGCTTTAAGCTAGAAGGCGAAAAACTCAAAATAGCTCCAGCAAGTCCTGAAACTGACCAGATTCATTAGGCCCCTCCCTCCCTCCCAGAATAAACAAGAAACCCGCTGAGTCACTCTCCCACAAGCCAGGCTGAAAGACCTGGAGACCCCACCAGCTGCCTGCCAGAAGCAGAAACCAGCAGAGCTGAGCCTGGAAGGGGTTTAGACGGACTGAGTCACTGGGAAAAGACACTCTCCAGCCTGTGGAGCTAGCTGCCTGCAGGCTGTGTAGCCCCAGCTTTACGAGCTGTCACTCATGCTGGGGTGGGCTTTGGTGATGCAGCTGTCTGAGTCATTTTTGCTCCTGTAAGTGACCCCTTCGCCCATATTCGTATTAGTAAACCCCTCCCCCATATTCTGTAAGTAACCCCAATAAAACTCATTGGTTCACCAAGTTGGACTTGGGTGGTATCCATACTTTGATCTGTTGCTGGATAGTGTCTCCCCAAGAAAAGTTTGTCATACACGGTGGGCCTGGAGATTCCAAGTTCACAGATCCAGCTGGTGGGGAGCAGGGCTGTTCCTACCTGCAAAGGGCAGCACCTCCTAAGCGCGCTTCCAACTCTCTGCCTGTCCCCTCCCCACTCTTGAAGAACATTTTTTTTTTTTTCAGCCTTCGTAGCACCCTACTAGCCAGGCTCCAAGAAATCAAGGAGAGGGCAAAACCTGGGCGTGGCAGGCCTGTGGGTGAGCACCTAGTGGGTGAGAAGAGGGGCTACTCATATCCCAGTAGCTCTTTACCCCAGTAGACACCCCGAAGCTGCCCTCCACCTACTGCACCCGAGACATGGCTGTGAACTGTTCTTGAGAATATTCCTGTCTAGACTTTGCACACCTCCGCATGAGTGTGAAGCTTTCTCTGAATGCAAGCAAGAAGGTGATGGGGGTTGGGAGGACGGCTCAGCGGTTAAGCGCTAGCCGGGCAAGTGTGAAGACCAGAGTTCAGATCCCCAGAAACCCCCATAAATGCCTGGCGGGCATGGCTGCCTGCCTGCCTGTGATTCCAGCATCAGAAGGCAGACACACGGTTCCCCAGAGCAAGTCGGGTTTCAAGACCAGACATCAGACAGCTCCAGGTTTGAGAAGTCTGCCTCAGCTTCTAAGGTGAAAGAGTGATGGGGATAACTCTTAACATCAACCAACTCCGGACCAGTGCATGTGGGCATACGCACACATACCTGAGTGACACACATACAAAAATATATATACACACACACACACACAAGAAAAAGGGGGGAAAGGGGAAGGTAGTGTGGGATGAGAAAAAGAAAAAAGTGACAATGTGACTTTCATCATCTATTTAGATTCCAGCCTGTACTCTGTACTCTGAGCAAGGGGGTGGGGGGGGGGGAGACACACACTAGTCAGATCCTCATTTGTGCTCTGGTTCTCCCAATTTAACAACTACCGCAGCCCCGAGAACCGCCCCCCACCCCCGTTTCTGCCTGGCTCTATCCCTTGCCACACTGCTTCTCTCATCCAAAACGCCGATCTCAGGGTGCCTTTCTTCCCAAGCCCAACTTAAGGTTTTCTTTGGCTAGGATTCTACAGGCTGAACTCACTGGAGGGATTTTACTCATTTATTATGTATTTATTACGTTTAGGCGTTCAGGCCCATCTGAGCGGAGTGTCTCCAGTCAGTCTCACCTGTGGCTGCTGCGGAAAGAAGCAGAGGCTGTCTCACTCTGTGGCGTCTGCTGCCGAGTCCTGCAGTAGACATTATTATTATTTCAACTGCCCACTATGTGGTCATGGCAGCATCTCCGCTTGTCTTTGTTGAGCTGCCCCTTTACACTCCACGTGCCTAGGAAGTGGAGACATGGCCTAGTCCTACTTCCTTGGTGATAATGACTGACCCAGGGATGAGTATGTACATTCCTCAAACTGAGCCACTAGAGTCCTTCATTGGGAAATGGGGGGAGGGGTCCCCCTTTCCTTTTGTGATCACATGCTAGGATGACGCACTCTGGGAAACTGTGCACTCTCCACTGAAGCATGGATGAGAAGAAGGACGTCAGTGGCTCAGACTGCCTGACCACACCGAGAAAGTCCATGCACGGAAGGAAAAACATGCAAACACCCAGTGAGGTGGAGCCAGGAGCTGGAGAGTCAGCCCCACTTTCCTGAGAACCTGGATGCAGTTATGCCAAAAGCCCATTCATCTGCCCTCCTCATAGGTACGGGAAGTGTGAAGATATTTTATTGTTAAAAATAAAACTGGGGGCTGGTGAGACGCACAGCAGATAAAGGTTCTTGTCACCAAGCCTGGTAACCCGAGTTTGACCCCCGGGACCCACATATGGAGCTGTCCTCTGACCACTCTCTTCTACGGCCGTAGAACATGTATGTACGCACACACAACACACACAAGATAATGTAATGTAAAAACTAAATAACATTGGGTTTGCCACTTGTAATAAAACTCTCTTCTCTAAGCCGGGCAGTGGTGGCGCACGCCTTTAATCCCAGTACTCGGGAGGCAGAGGCAGGAGGAGCTCTGTGAGTTCGAGGCCAGCCTGGGCTACTGATTGAGTTCCAGGAAAGGCTCCAAAACTACAGAGAAACCCTGTCTTGAAAACCCAAACCAAACCAAACCAAACCAAACCAAAAAAAATCATCCCTCTTCTCACCTAATCAGTCAGTCTGCACTTCTTACCTAAGCTGTAGCTAAACATGAATTCATTCTGTGTCCACTTACTGAGTGCCTGTTCAGCACCATGCACTACACGGGTGTTGTGCTAGGCATATGCAGGTCACACAGATAGACAAGATCCAGTCCTTTCCTCCAAGTAGCTGGTGACGTCCTGAGGCAAACTTGGTTAGAAGATGATATGTCAAAACAGTATGGGAGATGAACAGAAACCTCTGTGATTAAGAGCACACACTGCTCTTACAGAGGACCTAAATTCAATCCCCAGGACCCACTTCAGGCAGCTCATAACCACATCTAACTGTGGCTCCAGGGCCTCTGATGATCTCTTCTGACCTGAAGGCAAATGTAAACCCCACATCCACATAATTAAAAGAGTTGGGTGTGGTGCCACATGCCTTTAATCCTGGCATTTGGGAGGCAGAGGCAGGTGGATCTCTGTGAGTTCAAAAATCAGCCTGTTTTACACAGCAAGATCCAGGCCAGCCAGGGCTACAGAGTGAGACCCTGTCTCAAACAGAACAAAACAAAAGCCAAAAAGCGAGCAAGCAAACAAACAAACGAAAACAGAAAAACAAAAACAAACAAGCAAAAAACTGGGGACAGGGGCTGAAGGGATGGCTCAGTAGTTAAGAGCACTTGTTGCTCTTCCAAAGGACCAGAGTCTGATTCCCAGTATCCACTCGGAGGCTCACAACTGTCTGTAACTCCAGTTCCAAGGATTCTGAAGCTTGCTTTTGGTCTCCACAGACACATGTAGTGCATACATACAGACATACGTGCAGGCAAAACATGCATGTACTTAGAAATAATTGTAATACAAAACAAACACAAAGCTATTTGGATCTACTTTGCAGTACGTAGCCTGAAATACATTACTGGGGATAGTAAGATCATTCAGTGGGTAAAGGTACGTGCTACAATCCTGATAACTGGGGTCCACATGGTGGAAAGAGAAAATGGACTCCCACAAGTTGTCCATATGCACATCCAATTGCATGTGTCTACACACAAATGAGTGCAATTAAAAAAATTAAATACATTACTGGCCAGATGTAGTGTCAGTGCCTGTAACCCCAGCAGTTTCAAGGCAGAGGCAGGATTATGAGTTTAAAGTCATTTACAGCTACATAGCAAGTTTGAGGCCAGCCAAAGCTACATAAAAACATGTCTCAAAATTTTATTTAACTTAAGCATGAAAAAAAAATTAGGCTTAAATTGGGTGGTAGTGGTGAACGCTTTTAATTCTGTCACTTGGGAGGCAGAGGCAGGTGGATCTCTGAGTTCAAGGCCAGCCTGGTCTACAGGGCAAGTTTCAGGACAGCCAGGGCTACACAGAGAAACCCTGTCTCGAAAAAACAAACAAAGAAAAAAGAAAAAAACAACCAAACAAAAAGTTAGGCTTACTTATTTATACTTTATGTATGAGTGTTTTGCCTGAATATGTATCAGTGCACCAAGTATGTGCGGTATCCTTGGAGGGAAGAGAGCATCAGACCCCCTGGAACTACAGTTGTGATGGTTGTGAGCCACCAAGTGGGTGGGTGGTCTGCAAGAGCAACAAGCACTCTTAACCATTTAGTCATCTCTCCAGCCCCAAATGGACACATTAAAAAAATAATACTGGGAAAGCAAGCCCAGGGTGGCAAATAGAGAAAGAAGAGACAGAGGAGAGAGAAGAGCCAAGGACTTCTCGGGAACCAACAGCAGAAACAGGAGTTCCAGCCGGAAACTTGGGAGGTGCGGATGTAATCTGGAAGGAGTGGGCAAGCTCACACTGGCCCGGAGCTGAGGAGGGCCCGCTGGGGACTACTAAGATGGCTGCTTTAATGCGCCTGGCTGCTGTGGGCATGGCACCGAGTGGACAGGAGTTCCCTGCGCCGGGAAGGAGGCAGTGTGGGAGAATCCAGGAGCATTTTTTTAAGATTAGAGAGAATGAACATCTTAGAGATAACCCACTTCCATAGGTCAGAGATACAAATAAGGTCTTGGGCCTGAAACCTTGCTAAGGAGTCCTTCCTTTCTCCTTCCCTTTTCTTCTTTTTTCCTTTAAACTCAAAATGAATGAAAAGGGATCATAGGGAACGAAATGGGTTCTATCTCAGTGTTGGCAGCCCAAAGCTTCAAGTGGCTAAGACTAACCTCACAATACCAATGTCCACACTCTAAAACCTGCCTTTCCTACAATTCTCAACCGACAGCCGCGGTATCTGCTCAGCACCTTGGACAGCGACTCGCCTCCGGCCTCTCTCTTCTGTCTCCACCCTTGCCCACACTGTCTGCTATGGTTGACTTCCTTTTCCTATAGGCGCGGCTGCCGAGACCTCAATCCTCATCTGTGTGGACTCTAACTCACTCATCTGACAATCCTCATGACTTCTGAAGCCTTTTGCAAGTATCTACCCAGTCATGTATGTCACTTATAACGTAAAATAGGGGCTGTGGAGAAGGGCTGGCTTCAGGAGCAGGAAGCCCTGAATTCAGATCCTCTCACAAAAAGTTCAGTGTGGCAGTGTGCATCTATACTGCCAGAACTGGGAAGGCGGAGACAAAAGGATCGCTGTAAAGCAATGGCCATCCAGCTTAGCCAAACTAGTGAGTGCTAGGTTCAATAAGAGACCCTGTTTGCTTAAAAAAAAAAAAGCAGCGGGGGTGGGGGAGGGTCTCAAACTTGCTGTGTAGCTGAGGACGATCTTGAGTTTCTGATCCTCCTGCTTCCACCTCCTGAATGCTAGGATAGTTCTAGCAATCAAATGCAGGGCTTGGTGCATGCTAGGCAAGCATCAACAAAGAGATCCCCAGCCCGGCCACTCAGAAGCGAAGTACACCTGCCATACTTGTCGTCAAGGGTGGCTCATGCTGACCAGCCCTCGGCTTTGCCAGCACCAGCTTTTGTCTCTGCTCCTGTTCCACATAAACCGTCAGTGAGCCCCATGAGGGTTCTACTCCACTGGAAAGCACTGGGCCCTGTCACATCCCCATGCTGTCTCCCTTCTTAGAACTCTGTTCTCCAACTGGTGAGTTTTGTAGACCCAGCTCAAATGCCACCTTTTCCACCCTGACACCCTCCTCCACCTCAGTCCCCGTCACAGCACAAATCCTTCCTTACTATAAACTCCCAAGACAGCAGGTCCCACAGCTGGGGGTCACTGACCTGCACATACATCGGGTCCCTCATTACTTACATTCTACAGGCAGAGACACTACAAATGACCATCTTCACAGAGTATACACTAGTACACTGTTAGAGGAATTACCAGATCATAGATAAATTAGATTTCATGCAACCAAAACAATTTTCTAAAATGAATTTTTAGAAAGATGTATTTTGTAGGTGTCTTTTGCCTGCACGTATGTGCATTTCTGATCAGAAGAGGGCACTAAATCTCTTGGGACTGGAGTTTCAAACAGTTATGAGTCATCATATGGGTGCTGGGAACCGAACTCAGGTCCTCTGCAAGAGTAACTAGTGCTCTCAACTGCCAAGCCATCTCTCCGTTGTTCAACCAAGGCAGTTTTTGACACTCACCATCATGCAACTAGATAAACTGGTTAAATCAATCCAAGAATGAACTTGTAAAGCATGGTGGCTCCCTAGTCACTTACTAGGAGGTCCGAGCTCACTGTCTTCTCATTCCCATGGTTTGCTCTAGTTGAGCTGAGGTTTTGGGATCACCTGCTTTACTCTATACGCCATGTGCCCAATGCAAGATGCCAGTCAAGCCCAAGGCCCACAGGTGCCCGCAGTTTAAGAAAACAGTGAACCTGTGTCTACCTACTCATTATTTCTGGGACATCATTGTGCTTCGATTTTGGAATGAGGAAGCGAAGGCTCAGATTGCCCGTGGCCAATAAAGACTTGTAACAAATTGGTGCCACGTGAGGACCTCTGATGAATCAAGTCTTCTAGAGTTGCCCTTACGTGGTGCTCTCCCACATTGACTCACGGCACGGCCAGATGGACATCAGCAAGCTTCGTGCAAGCAGAAGTCAGATACGCCATTGTACATCAGGACTTGTCATCTTGGAATGCTCCCTCTTAGCGAGCCCTGGGATCCAGCTGCTAGATCCCTGCTGTCTAGAATTATCGGAGGCTACTGTGGAAGGAGGCCTTGGGGACTGAGAGGCCACCTTGAGAGGCTGTATATGTGATTCCAGGTGACATCCTCAGGTCCCATAGCCACAGCCACAGGCGAGACATAGACCAAATAGTGTCACTGTTAGTGGTGACCTGACTGGAATCCTAAAGAACTGATTGATAGGCAGGTCGCAACTTTAAGCCTAATGGTAGATCATTCGCCTAGTATGTGCAAGGTCTGGAGTTCAGTTCTCAGCACTGAAATAAGTAAACAAATAAATAATTGCTATTCCAAGTTTCCAAAGTCTGGGGGTGTTTGTCACATAGTAGTGAGTAACAAAAGCAGTGACAAGCAAGGATTTGAACACAGCACTTCCTGACCGACTCGTGGTCTGTGCTACCTTCCTTCCGGCTGAGAGTGGGATGCTCATACCAATCCTGAGATGTTCTCAGGAGGAAAGTCGGTCTAGGGAAACACAGAGGCAAGATAACCACTACGTTTTGACGACCTTCACCACCCCTTACAAATACTCCCTCCCTAAAAGGTGGGCATGCCTAAGTGTAGGAACAAATGTGGACACTTCACGGCTCTCTGCCCACCAGCTGTGTTCAGATCAGGCAAAATTGAAAAGCTAGCATAGTTTGTCGTTTTTTTTTGGGTGATTCCCCCATATGGCCCCCAACTTCCTGCCTGACCTACCCAGGACATCCTCTCACCCTCCCACTTGGCCTTCGGAGCCCAGGAGCACTTCCCTCCTCCTCCTCCTCCTCCCCCCATGTAAAACCCACATACAGGAAAGAAGCAGAGAAGCTGGAAATCACACAAACGAGGGAGGAAGGTTTGGGTGTTGTTAGATGGACCTAGAAGCCCAAAGAGCTCGAAACTAGGTGTTTTCAGGAGGCCTCTGCCAGCAGGTGGAGGCATTCTGAGGATGAAGAGGCTGCTGGAGGTGTCCACATGTATTATACCCCCATTATGCCCCAGTGGGTGGAGAATAAAGGAATGCCCTGCCTGTCTAAAGCCTTCCAACCCTCCAAGAAGCCCAGGCCTCGGCTCTGCAGCTACAACCCCAAACTGGGTGCCTGCCGAAGGGCTCCCCAGCCTGGTAAAGACCTACAGGAGTCAATACAGCCGCCCTGCCACACTGCCTTCTGTTCTAAGCACCCCCTCTCGTGGTCCTGCAAACATGCACACGCCTCCCAAGGTCACACACACACAAGCTCCAGCACCTGGATCCCACACCCGGAAAACCGTATGAGCCCCTCACCGCAGGCTCAACCAAAGGGAGGGGATAGGCCTCACTCGGTTCTCTAGGCAGACTGTAGGCAGTGCACACAGTATCTATCACACACACATGCAAGGCGATGGAGTGGAGCCCACACCTCCGGAGATACTGTGGGCACAGTCACCCGCACAGGCACTGGGGTGTGGGGAGGCAGAAACATGCGTGCACACATATGAACACCTCCAGACGATCACACGTGCACATCGGCACGCACCGACAACGGTACAGGTGCCCCGCCAGGCCTCGGGACCAAGACCCTCCCCCATGCCATCACCAGCAGGTGGAGAGGGCTGGGGTTTCAGGGCACTCCCCCTTCTCCCTCTCCAAAGTCCAGAGTCCCAGTGGGTTTTTTTCTGGAGGCCGCCCCCGCCCCACAACAAGGCTAGGGCAGCGACAGGCGGGAGGGGGGAGGGGAAGCCTGGTCTCAAACCCGTTCTGATTTTAATTTCTTAAATTAACCCCTTGGCTGCCTGAAGCCGGGCCTGCCCAGAATCCCTCCCAGTTCTGGCGGCCTCGCGGCCTCAGGAGGGCAGCAGGATAGAAGGCATGGAAGGAGGGTGCCGCGGCTGAGGTCCTCTCCGCCTAGCCTCTCCAGGAGCAGTCCCGCAGCGCGCCCCAGACTTGCCCTTACCTCCTCCAGTCCGCGGCAAGGCAAGGCACCGCGGCCCTGGGCTGGGGGCGCAGAGGCACAGACCCCGCGTGCCCGGTCCAGATGCAGGGCCGCCACCGGGCCTCGGATCTCGGTCCCCACTGCAGCCTAGGCTGGCCGCCGCCGCCTCCCAGTTGGGGCGGGGGCGGCCGAGTCCCCCAGCCCCGCGCGGCGGGAGGGGTTCGCGATGCGATCACGGGCGGGGTACGCAGGGAGGAGGGGAAGAGAGGAGGGGGCGCTCGGCCGGGGCGCAGCCAGGAGACAGGGAGGGAGGCGGCAGGGAGGTGGGGCGGAGCCGGCCCCTCCTCCGGGGCGGGCTCTCCAGCAAGCGGGGAGCGGCAGATGCAGCCAGGAGCGGCTGCGCCGGGACCCCACGTTTTCCGCAGAAGCTGGTGGCTCGGGTGGGGGATGGGTGCCGCCGGGGCGGGGGCGGGGGTGCAGCTTTCCCTCCAAGGACCACCACTCAAGCATTCCTGTGCCTCGGAGCTTCCAGCTGTGGCCTTTGCTGCCCACCTTTAATCAGGGCCTATCCACCCTAACCCACCCCCACAGGCTTGGCCTGCACCCAGTGGGGAGCCCATCTTGGATGGGTGGTTCTGAGGACCGGGGAAAAAAAAAAAAGGCTGGCACGGGCGCTATGACACACACCACAGTTCTTCAGCGGCCTCTTGGGCTCTGAGCCCAAGTACTGGCCGTGTGCCCAAGTGCGGGTTGTGCACTCTGTGACCTCAGGCCGGAGGTGTGGTCTTTGGGAAGATTTGGCTGCAGCTGGGCCACACTGTCTTGTGTTACCTCCATCCTCTTGTGGACCTACAAACGGAAAGAAGCAGGGACTATGCACTGCTTTGCTCCAGACAAACCCACCGCTTCCAGGATGCTCAACCCTGAAACATCCAGAAGGCCCCTCACCCTTGGCTTCAAGCCTACCTAGCTGCTGGGGTAGGCACACTCCATGCTGTAAACTGTCCTGTGTTAGAGGAAGTCCTCAGGGCTGAAGTTGAGCTGGAAAAGGAAAAAACAAAACAACAACCCCCACCCCCCTTTGGGCAAGGCCAGGACTAAACTGAGCTTTGGATGAGGAAAAGGGAAATGGTTCTTCTAACACTCAGTGGTGTCCCAGCTGGGCTGCATCAGGGCCTGTAGCAGAGCAAAACGCAGACATAGCTTTGGGACTCTCCAGTAAATTGGAGGCTTTGGATGACTACCACTGATCCCATCCCACTCCTGAGAGGGCAGAGGCCCCAGGTGCGTGGAGTACCAGGGAGGGGTCTGTAGACCTGTCAGGTGATTTAGGGGGAAGGATAAATCTAACAAGAATTGTACAGTGGCCAAGCAGATGAAGCGCCCTCTCCTTTTCTTCCCGAAGCTCTGATGTCTTTCCACCTGCAGGAAGTCTTAGAGTGATAAGGGAAATCACTTCTTCTAAGACTTAAATAAGTTCCTGTCAATCATGAACCAGGCAACATGATCATGCTGATCATCTTCATACACATCATTCACTTTCCAATAGAGTGACCAAGCAGAAGCTGTTCTTTGTATTTATGTACATTGGTGTTTGTCTGCGTGTCTGTCTGTACGCAGGTATCAGGTCCCCTGGAACTGGAGTTACAAACAGTTGTGAGCTGCCATGTGGTTGCTGGGAATTGAACCCTGGTCCTCTGGAAGAGCAGCCAGTGCTCTTAACCTCTGAGCCATCTCTCCAACCCCAGAAACTATTTTTATCCCCACTGTGATGGTTCACCCTCTGTCAACTTGACTGGGTTTGTAACTACCTATGGGTCTGTCTGAAAGGGGGTTTAGAGAGAAGTTTAATTGAGAAGACCCTCCCTGTGCGCAGCACGGTCCCATGCCCTGAGGCCCCAAACTGAATAAAAAGGAGGAAGTGAGTTAAACACCAGCATTCACTGCTGTCTCCTTCTCACTGGGGCCACAATGTGAGCAGCTGCCAAATACTCCCACTGCCGTGCTTTCCTGGACATGCTGGACGGTGTCCTATCAAACGGGGAGGCAGGATAAGTCCTTCCTGCCAAGTTGCTCACGCCAGGGTTTTTGTCACAGAAGTGATAAAATGCACCCACTTCTGCAGGAGAGGCTAAAGTTCAGAGGTCAATGAATGGCAGGACCAGAACTGGAATGCAAAATACTCAGCTCATCCTCTGGTCAAACCATGCACCCTCATGCCATCTCTCTGCTCCAGTGAAGTTCCCGAACCTGCTCTCTCCAAATGCAGACTGGATTCTTTCACCTGTTTTCGTAGCGAGCCCAAAGTATCTCTATACCATCCTGGCTCCACCTTTGTTATGATATTGCCCTTGTGATGACTATACAAAAATAATTTACAGCAAGGAGTGTGCTTGTATGTGTTTTGTGTATGTGTACACATGGATTTGTATGGATACGGAGGTATACACCAGTGGCTGTGCAAGTATATAGAGATGCACATGTGTATGGTTATGTATGCATGTGGATGTACATGTGTGTATGTGAAGGTGGGTGTGCTGTCCTTATGCACGTAAGTACACACATGAATTCCAACATGTGCACACATATATGCATGTGCGCATGTGTGACCATGCTATATTTCACAGACAACAGTTCCTGCTTGGTTGTTATGGGAACCACTGTTCTAAAAATGTGAATCTCACTCCATGTGGGCCAGAGAAACCAAAAGAACGAGTGCTCAGTGACAAACCTATCTAGGGCTCCCAAGGCTAAGGCAGGGAATCATAAATTACGAATCAGGCAGTCCCAACTGGTGAGAGGTACATTACAGCCCCACTCCCAGGACCCCATGTTGTGCCAGGGCCTCCATCCTGCCTCTTTTCATCTCCCCATCTTTCCCAGCTTCATGCTCTCTGGCTACCTTCCTCCTCTCTTCCTCTTCTGTGAACTAGTCAGAACAGTGATTCAGTCTTTAAGTGGACTGGGTCGACTTGGTGAGCTGGAGGTTGTGTGGATCAAACATCTACCTCAGAGGGAGCTCAAAGGTGGGAACAGTTGGGTATTAGATTGGAAAGGAAGAGGATAAAGAGGTGATGGAGGGGGCGGGCAGTGGTGGCACATGCCTTTAATTCTCAGCACTCCGGAGGCAGAGCCAGGCGGATCTCTGTGAGTTCGAGGCCAGCCTGGTCTACAGAGCAAGATCCAGGACAGGCACCAAAACTACATAGAGAAACCCTGTCTCAGAAAAAAAAACAACAACAACAACAAAAAACAAACCAACAAACAAAAAAGGACAGAGAGATGATAGAGGAAGGTGAATTCAGTTGTGAAAGGGTTTACCCTCACAGTGTATGTGGTTGTTTTTTAAAAGACTTATCTTTGGTTACATGTATGTTTGTGTGCGCATATGTGTGTAGGTGCCCTCAGTGGCCAGAAGAGAGCATGAGCTCTGGAGCTGGAGTCACAGGTGGTTATCAGCTGCCATATGGGTTCTGGAAACTGAACTCAGGTCCATTCTGGTAGCAATAAGTGCTTTTAACTACTGAGCCATCTCTAACCTTTATGTGTGCGATTTTGTTTTGGTTTTGAGACAAGGTCTCTCTGTGGGGCTGTCCTAGCCCTGGCTGTCCTGAGACTCACCGTGCAGAAGAGGCTGGCTCAAACGGACAGAGATCCACTTTGCCTCTGCCTTCAGAGTGCTAAGATTAAGAGCATGTGTCACCATGCCCCATGCGTATGTGACTTTAAACATGCGATTGTGGGCTCATGTGTGTCATGGCTTGTGTGTGGCGGTTAGAGGAGGAATTTCTCTCCTTCCATTCTGTCAAGGCAGGGTCTCTCTTGCCCTACCGCTGGTGTCCTGCAGACTCCATGCTAGCTGCCCATGAACTTGCAGGCAATTCTCCTATGGTTTTCTTGTCTCCAACTCCTATTTTATGGGGGGGGGGGTGCTGGGATGACAGGTTTGTCCCACTGTGTCTGGCTTTTTAAGTGTGTTGGGGGCAATAAACTCAGGCCACCAGTCTTGGCCATCTCCTTGGCCCAGGTGTATGTATTTTGGTCAATCTGACACTATCATGCCATGAGTGATGTTCTAAGGAGTTTCTAGCATGAGCTCCGTGTAATGGAATGGAAGGAGATATCATGAATCAGAGAAACAAGGGGCACAGTTAGGTAGTTCAAACTGGTTTATACTGGTCTTCTTTCAAGCAGGGAACAGGGGTTGTTGGCCAGGATGAAAGGAAAGGGCAGAGCAAATGTTCTAGGCTGTTTTGTCCAGTTCTTCCAGATCATACCTCATCAATTCTTATTTCCAGGCCTGAGGATGTAGCTCATTGGGTAGAGTGCTTGCCCACCATGCAGGAGGAGGCCTTGGGTTAGATTCATGCAGATAGACAGCTATGTAGATAGATGCAAACTTTTAAAAAGGGTGAGAAATTGAGAAAGAGAAAAATGTCAGCACAAAAGCATGAGGTGTTGAGTTTACCCCCGGAAGGCCCGGGGAGGGCGTGTACTGCCTGTAGATCCTTTGGAGAAGGAGGAGAGCTGCCTCTGAAAAATTGTAACTACTTATATCTGCTTGGAACAGGAACTCCAAGTAAAGAAATTGTCAAAAGATTCAGCTGGGTGTGGTGTGGCATGTCTGCAAAGCCAGCTCCGGAGACACAGAGACCACACAGCGAGCTTGAGGAGAGCCTGGGCCACATGAGGCCCTATCTCAAAAGAACAAGAACAGAAAGACTGATTCCTACTGGGGCTCATGCTCTTAGAGTACCGGGTTAGGGAAGCATACCGTCAACCTCTGCCACAGAGTGCTGTTGCCCAGGTCAATCCCCAATGCCAGGTGAGCTCACGAGCTAAAAGCCATTAACTCATAAAACTACTGATCACAAGGACAGCGAACAAGACTGTAGAAGAATGAGAACAGGATTCCAGAGAGACACTGGCTGCTCTGGCAGAGGATCTGGATTTGATCCCCAGCACCCACATGGTGGCTACCAACTGCCTATAACTCCAGTTCCAGGCAATCCAATGCTCTTTTGACCTCCTCAGGCTGCTGCATGCACATGGTGCACAGACATATACTCAGGCACACACGTGTGCACGTAAAATAAAGTAAAGAAATACTTTTAAAAAAAAAAGAATGCTGATAAGGTCCACCAGGTGTGAGCAACAGTCTGGACACATGGATGGGGGACAGCAAAAGTGACTGGCAGGGAACTGTAACTACTCAGATGGGTGTAGAGAATCCAACAAAGGATTGTCATTATTGACAAGCACTGGGACTATGGAAAGATGAGTTGATTCTACATAGATTATATCTGAAATGATGGTGGGACACTCAAATGGA